AAAAATTAAAGGAGACTACATAGGCATAAGGAGCTCTGGAGGCGTAGTGCCCAAGGCACTTGACTGCTAACCAGAAGGCAGGTGGTTCAAACCCACCAGCCACTCCTCGGAAGGAAGGCTGGGCAATCTACTTCCGTAGTGATACCAATCGGAAACCCAAAGAAGAGTCGCTATGAGTCAGATCCGACTGGATAGAAGTGAGATTTTTTTTTGACACAGGCATAAGGTCTATCCCTTAAAAGGTGACAAAACAAAAACAAACTAAAGAATATAAATAGTCATGTATCACTTAATGTCCAAAATACATTCTGTGAAATAGGATATTGTGCAAGCACCACATTATATACTGGCAGTCATTGAGTTACGAACAGTTAGTATGGTTTGTATCTAACATTAATTAGTCAACTGTTTGTCTTCGTATTTTATAATACAGAATATATCTACAGATATATAGAGTATATCTTTCTATGCATAAAAACAACCATTGGTGTTATGTGCTGCCGAGTAAGACCCGACTCATAGTGACCCCTCCTTGGGTTTCCGAGGCGGTATTCCTACGGAAGTAGATTGCCCAGTCTTCCTTCCAACGAGTGGCTGGTGGGTGATAACCAATCATGTTAGTTCAGACTCATAGCAAACTGTATGTACAACAAACGAAACATTGCCTGGTCCTGTGCCATCCTCATGACCCAGACAATGTTTCGCTTCTATTCCTATGGTTTTCACTGGCCAATTTTCTTTAGAAGTAGATTGACAGGTCCTTCTTCCTAGTCTGTCTTAGCCTGAAGCTCCACTGAAACCAGTCCACTATGGTTTACTCTGCCAGTACTTGCAATAATGGTGGCACAGCGTCCAATATTACAACATGCAAGCCACCAAAGTATAACCAACTGACAGATGAATGGTGCTTGTAATAATACCTCCCTTTATTTCAATTCCCTTTCCTCATCCCATATACCCAACAGACTTAAGTCCTGCTGGGATCTTGCTAACTGCCCTTGAATTCCCACCAATGCAACACAACACACTGCCATGGAGTCAGATCCAAATCACAGCGACCCCTCCTTGGGTTACTGAGGCGGCATCACTATGGAAGTAGATTGCCCAACATTCCTTCTGAGGAATGGCTGGTGGGTTTGAACTGCCAGCCTTCTGCTGAGCAGTCAAATGCCTTAGGCACTACGCTACCAGAGTACCGCCTTACTTCAAGCCCTCATATTTTACATGAACTACTGTCAATGCCTATCTGATCTCTTTAGTCTCTAATCTCAAAACCATAAAACCACTTCCCCTTACACCCACAAAACTGCTGAAAATCAGATCTGATCTTGTGGTTCCCCTCTAATAGTGCAATACTTCCTCAACCATACTCCCTCTTAACAAACAAAAAAAAAAACCAAACCCATTGCTGTTGAGTCAATTCCAACTCATAGGTCACTAAGAGTACGAATATCCCTCCTACAGCTATGAAATACACATTGACGTTTCAAGAGTGAAATTAGTATTTTAATATGAAATACACATTGATATTATGATTTAATTTAACCTGAAGTCACAAAACAGAGACGAGATTCAAGGAATACTTAATACCATTTCCAAGGTGCTCCCTGGATTACCCCTTCAGAATACAATAGACTTCATCAGTGGTTCTCAAACTTTGGTACTATCAAAACCACCTGCCAAGCTTTGGAAAAAGACATGCCCAAGTTTCACCTTGTTGTTGTTGTCGTTGTTATGTGCCATGGAGTCGGACCCAACTCATAGCTACCCCTCCTCTTCCGAAGAGTGGCTGGTGGGTTTGAACCGCCAGCCTTCTGGTTAGCAGTCAAGTGCCTCAGGCACTATGCCACACCAGAGCTCCTAGTTCCACTTTAGAGCTGGTGAATGTGAACACTATCTAGTGAAGTGCCATATGCATCTTTCATAATCTCCACAAGGATCCCAATGCACATCTGAATTTGAGAACCTCAGCAGAAACCTTCCTCGTTCCACAATGAACTGGGCAGGCCCCTAACTTTCCAAACTGTTTCATACCTCCCTTGTCAACCCAGGGTATACCTATTAATCTTAAAGATTCAGGTTTCACCCATTTTTTATAGTTTTTACTTATCATGTCTCCCACCAACTCTCCACAGATGCTGAAACCTACCTCAATCCATAAAAAATTATAGCTTCCTTATATTTGCATACAGGCCTTCCAATCCACCCAACCACACATAAAACAGTATCTTGATTTTACAGAAGAGAAAATCAAACTTAAGACAAGGAGGTTCAGAAGCTTGTTCAAAGTGACTCTATGCATCCCAACTCAGCTCTGCTAACTACAAAGCTAAGTGTTTTCCTTTCTGACACCGTCCCTCTCACACATCACTCTTGAGGTATTGACTTATTCATCAGTTTACATGTTTCCTTTTTTAGACACAGTAGGCTCAATGCTGATTGTGACCTCAATGTTTGATTACTCAGTACATGCTTGTTGAATGAATGAAAGATGGAATGGCACTCCTGGAGAGCTGAGAATGTAACCACTACTCTTTCATTTCTTAAATCCTTAGACAGAGCTCCAAATAATAGACTTCTTGCCTAACAAACCTGACCTGTGTATCAGATCAAATTTACTGCTGAATTTATTGTGGGAGAGTGTATTTCAGTATCGTTTTAAACTAACAAAAATGGCATACATAGCAAAGAAAAATAAAGATTATTCCCCAAAATGAAAATACCACTTACTCTCTATTAACTGAGAATTTCAAATATTAAAGTTAATTCTTTATAGTAATTTCACACAAGAGAAGGCAACTATACTAGTGTGGTTTTAAGTGAAAGAAACTCAAAAGGTACAGTGTCTTGATTAATAGATGACATAAAGAAGTTGAGCATTGAATACTGGTACAGCTTATTCAGCAATCCACATGTTAACCAGTGAGGGATGCTATCATTCTCTATCATAGCGTTCTTGTACATTATTTTTTGAAACCAGTAAACACCAATGGTACCCACCAGCCACTCCTTGGAAGGAAGATGGGGCAATCTACTTCCGTAGTGATACTGCCTCGGAAACCCAAGGAGGGGTCACTATGAGGCGGGTCCAACTCGGCGGCACATAACAACAACAACAACAACAACACACAGAGCGATGAATATACTTGTGTAAATGTTGCTTCCTACCTACTGTGTCTGCTACGTAAAACACAGTACAACTACTAGTTTATTTTAAAAAAAAAAAAAAAACACATTACACAACAAACGTAGTAAACCAGCAAAACTGGAATGTTTTTCCCCCCAGTCATTTGCAGGTAACATAAAATTCAAAGTGCTAGAGATTTTCCTAGATTGAAAGTATGCATAAATTAGTTTGCTTTAAGAAATCTTGTATTTTATTTATACTGGTTTTTGATGACCTAAAAAGATGACATGATTATTCCTTTAACACTACTGTTAGAAATGAATCAATAACAACTAAGGAAAAAAAAAACCTTCGAAAGCAACATGATGTAGTGGAAAACACAATGAACCAGGCATCAGAGTACTGGTCTTCTAGCTCTGGTTACATTAGTAAATTCTGTGTGACTTAGGGCTCATTGGCTCAGTTTTCTCATTTCTTTAGGAAAAAAAAAGTTTATGTGTTTGTGGAAGACTTGATTATCTTTGTTTCCAAAATTCCAGTTTTAAGCCACCCCTCATGTATCATTCCCCTAATCAGTCAACTCAAATTCTGGTCTCTAAAATCTAACTTCTGCAATATGAAAACACACCTGAAATTGAATTCAGTCTCCAACCGAGTAGCACAGGTTACAAAGGGTAGACTTCCACCAAGTTAACAATTAATCCAGTAACTTACCAGAAACTAACCCTAACTTCTTAAACAAGCAGGAGTAGTCTGCTTTGGCCTATTTAAACGTGACCAAGGAAGGTTATAAAATGATAATAGATTTGTTGAAATTCCCGTAGGTGTTTCCTGGGTCCCAGTGGCACATACTCTGCAGGTGCTAACAGGCAAAGAGGAAGAGAAAAGGCCCAGCCAGAGATCCCACAAACTCAGCCCCAGTTCAGCCGGGCCACCGCAGTAAGATGCAGCCAGACAAGGCCTACATGAGAGAGAACCTCCCCAAGCCCCAGAAATGCCAGCAGCCAATCTAAGGAACGCTTCCGTCAACAACACACATTCGCCTTCCCAGAACTGCTTGCTGCAAACCGGCCAGCTCGGGTTGGAATCGGCCGCAAAGCTCCAACCGAAGAACCATTGTCAACCCCGAATGGCCCAAAACTACTGGAGACTGCGGTTTCCCTGCGCATGGCTGCGGGGAGAAAAGCACCCCCTCTTACCAATGGAAAAAAAAAAAAAAATCAGTGGGGAGGAGAGGAGAAGCAGGGCCTGGGTGCGCCTGCTAAAGAAATAAACCCTGTTTCTCCGCAAAGAAAAGCAGTAGCATTTCCTGCCCTCCTTCCGCAGCGAAGAGAGCTCAGGAACCTGCGCTCGACTTCATTCCCTCCTGAGATCCTAAAGGACGACTTTTAACACCCATCTTCGGGTCCGCTCCATTCATATTCGGGCTCCATTTCCCGACCTAACCCACTCCTGGAGCCTTTGGCACTGTGAAGAAAGGCACGCCCAGATCAAAGAGAAGGCGGTTAAACGAGGGCCAGAAAGGGGGCCCCGGTTCTGAGACCAAGCAGCTCCGCCAAGAAAATCCCCTTGGGACCTGCGAGTAAAGTTTGCACCAGCAGCGAGGGCGCGGGCAGGGTCCCGGCCCCGCGGACTCCAGGGCAGGCCTGTGGAGGTGACACTTCTCGCGTCCCGGCAGCTCGGCCCGGCCTGCACTGGCCACACCGAGGCTAGGGGCACGGGGCGCGACGCGGGACCGGCCGGTGGGAGGCCTGGAGGGCAGCAGGACCCTCTCGGCACCGCCCCCGCCTCCTTCCCCACTCCCACTGGCCCCTTCCCGGCCCTCATCCCGGGCGATAACGTCGAGGTGGCGACGCGGATCCCGGCCACTGACCACACATTTCTTGCCGAGGAAGGTGAATAGGGACTCGTTCTCCTGCGGAGTGAGCAGCAGGGACCCCACGTTGGGGACCCTCCGCGGCGGCGGCGGCTGCAGCTGGCCGGAGCTCATGGTTTGGCCGGCGGGCCTGGGAGTCCAGGGTCTTCTCGTCCGGCGAGTAGGCGAGCACTCGTTGCCCCTCTCGGTGACAGGGGTGGGGAGTCAGAGGTGAAGCATCTCGCAGCCCCTCCGGCGCGGGGAGAACGAGGCCAAGGGAAGGAGGCGCTGATGGAGGGCCGCTTTCGGACTTCGCTGAGAAAGAAAACCTCCCCGCTCCCGCCCGGCAAGGCTAGGGCCGGACGGTCGTTGTCCTCGCAGACTGGCGACTGCGCTAAACTCCCAGCTCCTCCTCCTCCAGCCCTCCTCCCTTGGCCGCGACGGCAGCGGCGCCCGCACAATCCAACATGGCAGCGAGGGCGGGCGAGACCACAGGACGCAGGAGGCGGGGGAGCGCGCCGGAAACGCGCGTGCGGCCCGGCGGACAGGAACTCCCCTCCCAACACACACTCCGCGGCCGCGCCGCACGAGGCCACGCCTCTTTCCGGCCAAGGCGCGAGCCGCGCGGCTGCCGCGGGGCTGCGGTCATTCGCGCGGGCTTCTGCCGCCGCGGGTCCTCGGGCCCAGCGGCTGGTGCTTCAGGAGAGGGTAGAGGCTCGTCACCGCACTCTTTTGCGAGCTCGCACCTTCGCGATGCGTTAGTGAGGACCTAGGCGCCGCTCTCCGGAACGGCTCTTATTTCTGAGATTCGGAAACGGGATGCGCAAACGGTTGGTCAGAAAGGCCTGGAGACGGAAAATCGGGGAGAAGAAACGCGCCCTCCGGTGCTGCTCGCCGGTTTTGGTCAGAGCCGCAGGTGCCTGAGATTTCTCGAAGTTTGTCCAAACTTCAGCAGTAGAAGGGGAGGCACCAGCAGGCCTCTCCCGAGATTGTGAAAGAAATCCTGCTGACGGCTGAGAAAAAGCAAACGCACTTAGGAAGGAAGGTCGTTCGACCTGTCAGTTGGGAGAAACGTCTATGTCAATTCAAGTTCTGTTCATAAGAGTCCTGGACACTTTTTGTCCTCTGTCGTGTGAATTGGACAGTATTCCTCCCCTCCCCCCAATGTAGTTTTTCCTTTCTCAAACTCCGAGGACCTTACTTCTTTTGCTTCAAAATAAATGTGTTCATTTTGGGATGTCACACAGGAAAATACATTATCTGGTTGAGTACTTAAGAGAAATCTCAAGAACTTTTTTTTTTTTTAATTTGTGTGCCCAAGAATATTCAATTACCTAAGATAGCCCTGTGTGTTAACATGCTGAATACTCAATATTGTAAAATGGAATTTTGGAATATGGAAATAATACCGACTGCAGTGAATTATGCATCTGGCTGTTGTCCACATTAAATAATTTAGCTTCTATTGCATAAACTTTACTGTCATACTTGCAAATTGGTTAATTAAAACAAACAAATCCTATGACAATAAAATTGAGTAAAAATTATTTGATCTAACATCTTTAGTAGCTCCCAGTACAAATCCTTGATGTACTATGTAGATTGATGAATCATTATCAATATTTTGAGAATATTATGAATATTTAAGATTTAAGCTGCCATTATTAAAATTGGCTATGCAGAAACTGCAAGGGAAAATGAAAGTATGTAACTTTGAGAGTTGTCACCAAAAATACGGGTATTTCAAAACTGAACTTGATGAACAATGTTAGGAAAAAGGTGATTTTTTTTAAAGGCAACAGGATTATTTATAAAATAGTTTCAGAAAGGCAATAGTTTTTAGATAAACTTGGAATTGTCTCTGAATTATGTTGTTTTTGTTTTTAGGTGCCATCACATCAGCTCCAAGTCATAGTGACTGTGTACAGTAGAATGAAACACTGCCCGGTCCTGTGCCAGTCTTGTGATGCTGGCTATACCTGAGCCCATGGTTGCAGCCACTGTCAATCCATCTCCTTGAGGGTCTTTCCCTTTTTCTGCTGCCACTTTACCACTTTAGCAAACAAGATATTCTTCTCCAGGGAATGGTCCCTTCTGACAACATGACCAAAGTACATTCCGGCTGCACTTCTTCCAGGACAGATTTGTTAGTTCTTCTGGCAGTCCATGGCACTTTAAGTAGTCTTCACCAACACCACAACTCAAAAAACCATCAACACTTCTTCAGTCTTCCTTATTCATTGTCCAGCTTTCACATGCCTATGAGGTGACTAAAAGCACCATGGCCTGGGTTAGGTGCACCTTGGTCATCACCTTTGCACTAAAGCACTTTAATGACACCTTTTGTAGCAGGTTTGCCCAGTACAAATACTTAGTATGATTTCTTAACTGCTCCTTCCATGAGTGTTGATTGTGGAACCAAGTAATAGGAAATTTTTTGACAACTTCAATCTTTTCTCCATTTATTGTGATGCTGCTTATTGGTCCAGTTGTGAGGAGTTTTGTTTTCTTTATGTTGAGGTGTAACCCATACTGCAGACTTTAGTCTTTAATTTTCAGTAAGTGCTTCAAGTTATCCTCATTTTCACAAGCAGAGTTGTGTCGTCTGCATATCACAGGTTGTTAATGAGTCTTCCTCCAAAACCTTCTTCTTCATTCAGTCCGGCTTCTTAGATTATTTGCACAGCATAAAGATTGAATAAGTGTAGTGAAAGAATACGACCCTGACACACTCCTTCCTGATTTTAAACCATGCAGCATCCCCTTGTTCTGTTTGAACAGACAGCCTCCTGGTCTATGTACAGGTTCCTCATGAGTACAATTAAGTGTTCTGGAATTCCCATTCTT